ACACACACACACACACACACACACACACACACACACACACACACACACCATTTTTGTTTGAAATAATCTTTGCTTGGTTTCTATTGGAATTTATGTAGTGGACCTGATTGAAGCCAGAGCCTAGAAGAGAATACCTTGGTTGACATGTGGATATTGGCTCCTTTTTCCAGAAGCAAGGTGACCATGTCTGTGTGCCCCTCTTGTGAGGCCAGATGCAGTGGAGTGACGCCTTGCTTCGTCACAGTGTTCGTTTCAGCTCCATAGTTCAGTAGCGTGGAAGCTATCTGCATCTGATTCTTCTTGGCAGCAATGTGTAAAGGGGTGTAGCCATTCTACAACAGAAGCCAAAGAGATAAATGGGACACACACATATACACACGATACACATACACACACACATCACACATAAACACATGCATGCACACACATCACACACACACACAGAACATTAATGTGCACATACATCACACACACAGAGAACATTTAGTGCTCAACTATTCACCTCCAATGGAAATAATGGAGTATAATCAGCCAGAGACGATAAATGTAAGCTGACAGCTAATGTAGGTGCTTAGCTTCATGTTTCTATCTAAACATACCCAAAGCTTTGCAACCAAGGACAAAGGACCACCTGTTATACCCTAGAACAAATAGAGATGTAAAAGCACCAAGTCTGAAAGCCTCTTCATAATCAGATTCTCTCCCAAACACAAAAAGAAGTACAGCAGACATCTCTTCTACATGATAGTCCTTTAATACCTGGTGGTCGGTTGCTTCTCTGTCTAGAAACGTCTCTAGATCTTCTTAGCTTCTCTCATCCAGGCTAAGTATCCTAGGCCTTCAAATGTTCTGTCCCTTTGGTCATTTATAGTCCTCTCTCCTGAAAGACAACCTGTTCTGCACTGACCATGATCTATCCATAATGCTCCTGGATCGTACAGTTTCTCACCACTGAATTCTATGTCAGATATTATTTTAACCACACAGAACCAAATCTAGTAACTTCTATGGTATTATTAGGATACTTTTCTCCAAATGGCTCTCACTGGACTGTTCTTTCCACTCCTCAAGCAAATGCTATTTAAGTCCTAGAATAAGCCAGGCTCTGTGATGAGTGAAGAAACACAATGTGAATAAGATTTGCCAGTGTTAGGAATCTAATGTAATATGGCTATTTCCCAATCATGATAAAAAGTCTAACATGTGATATGAAAACATATTTTTTCAAACAAATGACTGAAAGATGTGACAGTTGTGCATATCTTCAACATTAAAAATGTATGTGTGACCATCATAAACTGAGAGCATAGTAGATAATCTGTTGCTAGGTAACCAGGCTTGGTAGGAACTGTGCTTAGGTTTAGATGACAGATACACAACACAAAGGTATTAGTAGTCTACAGACCCACTTAAAAGTCTCCACAATGAAGTTGACAGAGATAAACATTTAAAAGACAAAGAAACAAGACTCTTTAGAAGAGCCGAGTAAAAAGTTTGATGTTAGAAGAAATGAAGGTATGAAAGGTTATGTTTTATAGGCAAGAAGGAAAAACCTATAATGCCTTTGTCAGGTAAATGTCTCAGTATCCAAAACACTGACAGCTAGTAATAAGATTAGTCTCCACAAACTAATATGCACTCCCTACTGATAACTGGTGGCTCTAACAGTTGCAATAAATAAATAAATGAATAAAATAGAAGGTTTTAGACATAGCAATAGGTAGAAACAGCTTTGTTTTTTAAGTTACCAATAGTGAAAGTTATTATCACTGTTTCATGCCAGTTATTTAAAAGCAAGGCCCATGTATACTTGGATTATAGATACATGGCACCGGGAAATCCTAGGCTCTGGTCCTCACCTTGGCAGTGGCATGAGGGGAAGCACCCTTCTCCAGCAGCAACAGCGCCACCTTCTGGTTGTCATAATGTGCAGCAACATGGAGCGGGGTAAGGCCATTCTGTAAAGGTGGTATTTGAATCTCAGCATTAATACGTTAGCGTTAGCCGCTCTGAAGCTACCAGGATGCATGGACGGTGCTATTTATTAATTACATGTTAATTAATTAATATGGTCAATGGAAAGAATGATAATTTTCGTATTAGAAACATAACTAAAATTGAAAATGTTTGTGCTGAAAATTAGCAAAGGGTAGCTTTCTGCTCACAACAAGCAAAAGTCCAAGTTTCTATGTACACCACAGGGATTCTTAGAGAAGCTGTGGGCCCCTCAGGATAAGGCCCAGCTATAAAATATAAAAAAGGTTCCTAAATTGCAGTGTATAACAAAGGTTAGGGGCATATATTCCCAACTTGTGTAGCTGGTGTAATTTTGTCTGGTGCATTAATCTTGATTTCTGATGAGTGGTTAAAATAAAAAAAAATGAGTCAACAGAATCCAATGACTAAAACATGCTAGAGAAGCCACTTACCTTCCCTGCTGAGTCTGCTGCTGCGCGGCGTTGTAAGAGAAGTTTTGCCACATCCAGGCTTCCATACTTGGCTGCTACATGCAGGGGAGTGAAGCCCTTCTATAGTACGATAGAGAAATGTAAATTAGGGTTTTCCCCCCTCAATTCCTTACAAAAATTTTGTTAACCTATTAAGAAAACACTGTTGAGCCTCCATTTGTAAAGAAAAAAAAAAGATGGCAGGAAATCTGCCATTCCTGGATAAGTCTAAGGGTAAGGAATAAAGTTTACCCAGACCTGGTAGGAGCTTTGGTAGGCTTCATTGAGTCAACCACAACAATAACCACAAACATGTATGAAATCTTGGGGACTGAATCTTGACATTAATAGATTTGAGATTCGTAATCTGCACTGGTGTCAGTGAACCGCTTTGATTTATGAGTGGAAAGCGGAACACCAGAGGCAGGTCTTTGGTCTTGCTGGTCTAAAATGAATGCGACCAAAGGAACAGCTGTCTTCGATTTCTTACAGTCCTTTTTATACTTTCTATTCCAAATTTGTTTATTTAAGTTTTAGAATATTTTATGAAGCTTTGGTTGAAAAGAAAAAAAAAGTATTTGGTTCAGCTGACATATTTTCTGTAAAACTGGCCAGATAATCTACAGAATAAAATAAAATAGTATTCTATTAAAAACATTGGGTTTTTTGTTTTGTTTTTGTTTTTTACATACTGACATTTGTCCTCCTTCCCAGAAGACCATTCTGTCCAAAGATCAATTCCTCTAATCAAATCCATGGTTCTGGTATGCCATTGGCTGATTAATACTAAATAGTCAACCACATACTGAAGCTTTAACAATGTGCTTTTTAAAAGATGCTTGCCCTACGCATTTTATATGCATACCCTCAATGTCCTGTGAGCCCAACCAACAGCAGTACTTCAATGAGCAGCATGCTATAAATAGCATAGGTCCTGATACTGAAACCTCCAGGTGGCACAGCTCATGCCCTATGATGTCACCCACCCTCCTGGACAGATTCCTCAGCCACGTGCTTTTCTGGAACAATAGTAGGAGTCTGAGAACTCTAACACACCCTGGGGCCCCAAAAATTAAACTCAGCAAATACTTCTGTACTGGGTACTATTTAAGTCCCTAATCAAAGGCACTGAATATCTCCCAAGAACCAATGCTGCCCTTTCAAAGTGCCACCAGATCAACTATATTTTAATTAGAATGACATTTTGATTTCTATTTTTTTTAAAGAAATAAGCATTTGGTCTTAATAAGTTCTTGGACAAGAGTAAATCCTCTAGCTTTTTTCCCTGTGTGGGACAAATGTAGGCATGGCTGGAGGATGGCTTCCTTTAGTAGCCTTCCACGGAAGTTCACCTGCTGTTGAGGCTCTGTTTCCAGCACTCCATGCACACAAGGGTTGGATTGCCATAGCTTTCGTACAGTAGATTTCTGTCGTACAACATTGTAGGGAGGAAGAAAATAAACCCCTATCCTTACAGTCCAGTTGGAGTTGTGCCAACCCTCTTGTATGTTTGGAAACCCTTATCAAATCGAACTGCTTAGCTTTTGCAGAATGACAGGAGCCTGACTAGAAGGTAGTCTGTTGAGACACAGGCCACTGCTTTCCATGTGAATCTTGTCAGGGTTTCATCTCCCTCTGGTATTTATAAACATGTACGAGGCTTCAAGGATGGTGAATCACCCAGGATTCAGCGCGCCTCAGTCCTAAACTGCTCTGTGTAACAACTGCATCGATTTTACTCTGCTACTGCACTAAGGAATGACATGTCTTTTCAATCCTGAAAGTCTATGAAAGACAGGAGACTATCTTCTATTCCTTTACTTTTACATCTATTAACTCTATTCCTTTGGATTCTCATCAATCCAGATGACTGCCAAGTCTCTTGGGTTACCATAATCATTGTACATGGTTCATTCATGTCTAAGTTCTGAGGGTTTTTTTTCTAAAAAACAAAACTTTTAAAATGCATTCACCTCTTCAAATGGAATAATTTGAAAATTTATTAATTTCTCATGCCAGAACACTTGAGAATACATTTATTTTTATTTTATGTGTAAGAATGAATGTACATAATGCCTGACTGTATGACTGTGTATCGAATGTTGCTCCAGAGGCCAGCAGAGGGTGTCACAGTCCCTGGAACTGGAGTTACAGATGGCTGAAACTTGCTTTGTGAGTGCCAAGTCCCCTGTAAGAGCAGCAAGTGCCTTAACCTCTGACTACAGCTACAGCTCCAGAACAGAACATGTCTCTGATTATTTTATGATTCTCCTTGTGCTGTCAGTAACTAGTAGACTGCATTCCTTCTGAGGGCTCAGAGGTCACAGCAATACTTCTGTCCATACTTGATAAGTTCCGTGACCTCAGGCGTGGTATTTACTCCAAATTTACTGAAAGCCAGCTAAAGTGGCATTTTAATTCATCTGAACTGCTACTGTATGTGCGGAAAGTACTTTGCCCTGTGACAAGCTCATGTATTCTGATTGCCTTGGTTTTGTGTCTTCTGCACTAGCTCAATCTAATTTGCTCCAGCTATTTGGGCATGATCATGCTTTATCATAATTCACCTCCATGTAGTGACTTTCTAGTGGAATATATCCAAGAGAAGGAAAAGCTGTCTGGTATCACCACGGAATCTTGAACACAGGCTTGGGATATTATAGTCTTTGTTTGGTGTTAGTACAACTCATGAACTGATCTGCAAACCTGCTCTGTTTAGACGCTGTAAACAGTAAACTACATAGAAAGTGAACCTGGTAAATGTTGGGTAGTGGTTTGAATAAGGGTCCCCCATCGACTCAGGAATCTGAACACTTGATCTCCAGTTGTTGGCATTCTTTGGGGCAGTTGTGGACTCTTAAGTAGGTACAGCCTTGCCTTACTTCCCATTCTTTCTCTGCTTCCTGCTGTGCTGATGAAATGTGATCACCTAGGTTCCTTTTCCAGCCACCTGTTGTCATGCCACCCCTGACATTATGAACATCTACCTTCTGGATTCATAAGCCACAATAATCTCTCTCTTATATGAGCGGCTTTGGGTCATGAGATTTTATCATAACAACAAAAAGGACCCGACACAGTTGGACAAAGGAAATGAGATACCACTTGAGAGGTGATGACCCCATCACCTTGAGGGTTAGCACTGGGAAGGGCAGGATGGAGGCAAGCGAGCTGTCACTTAGCTCTGTCACTCAGCAAACAACATTATTGCTCTAATGCCGTAGTTTCGCATCACTAGTGATGACAATTCAATGTATTTGAGAATCCCCCCCTTTTTTCTCTAAAGACTATATATTGTAGTAAAAAGAAGAAATAAGTAAACTTTGCTTTGTAGTAATGAAATCATAATTATGGTACCTATACCAGGTGGAACTAGCACATTAAATAGAAGTTAGGTATGCAAGAATTTCCCTTGAAGACATTACATAGAATTTTATAACCTCCTCTCATCAGTTAGGTTATAATCGAAAATACTCAGAGATAGAAACAAGTCAGAGGCCTGACAGAGATTTTCCCTCCCTGAAACTCTTCTGCAGCTGAAGGAAGCCTTGACCCCTCTCAGTCATCCCCCTTACCTTGGTTGCTAAAGAGTGTGCTGCTCCAGCTTCCAGAAGGACAGAGGCCACGTCTACCTGTCCTTCCCGAGCAGAGATGTGGAGTGGTGTGTACCCATTTGTCGTGGCTGCATCTGGATGAGCCATATGTTGTAGAAGCAGCTGGACGATTTCTGTCTTACCCAGTCTGGAGGCAATGTGTAAAGGCGTCTGTTCCTCCTACAACTCAAGGTAAGTGATCAGTTAGGTCCCAGCAAAGCCAACTTAGAAGCGATGAATGCTTCTTAAACACTTCACGGTGCCTTCCTCTAGGAAGATATCTTCCTCTAGGAAGAGTTACTAGGAATCTCCACTCAAAAAATAATTGTTACTACTCTGCCATGGCTTTATTTGTATTTGTTATAGAAGTGATCTACTGGACCACAAAAATATCTATCTTAAAATTTTAAAAAGATTTTATGTGTTTGGTTATATGTATGGAAATGCACCATGGAAGTTCCCATGGAAATAAGAAGAGGCATTAGACCCCCCCCCCCCGGAACTAGACAGTCTGTGAGCCATTATATAGGTGTGGAACTCAAACTGCAGTCTTCTGCAAAAGAGAAGGTGCTCTTAACCAGTAAGTCCCTCTCTTAGATTTTTAAAAAGTATGTATGCATACTCATAAATTTGGTAATTGTTTGATGGACACCCCAAAACCACCTCTTAACTCTTTCTGTCTTCAACTCTCTCTATGCTTACTTACAGGCAAACTCATGGTTTTGAAGGAGAAAACTAAAATCAAGTCCAGAAATCCTAAGACCTAGATTCTCCTCCAAGAGCTTTCAACAAGAGGCAGGATTTATTCTGGGAACTGAATCAAGAAAAAAGACCCAAGGAAGCTGGAAATGCTATTTCTACTTCACTCCCGAGCCAAGGACACAAATGATGGCCATTTTGTTCTAGAACTGTGGATAAAGACTACATTGTAAAATGATTTAAAGAGAAACTGTTCCAGGAAGCATTGCAGATGCGCTTGCAATGCACATCTAGGACTTCAAAGATGAAATGAAACTCTGGCCAAAAAAAAAAAAAAAAAAAAGGAGTAAACTCTCTGCCAAGTGTTTTTGCTCTAAAAACTGAGAGGCTGGTGCTGAGAAGAATAGACAGGAAGGACCTGTTTGGCAAGGCTCATGAGATCACCTGACTCTAACACTTTCTTGGGGTTAAAAGAACTAAAAAACAAACAAACAAGCAAACATCTACACACAACGCTGTCTCTTATAAAAATAAAATGGAGTGTGCCCCTAGGAATGCAAAGGTGTGTGTCTTTATAATATTCTCTAGGGTGAGTCACCATAAAAGAGAAATAAAAAGCTGAAGAAGCTGCCAGGGATAAGAATAGATGAAGACAAAGAAAAGATAGTAGATCTGCCTGAATAAATGTAACACTTGAACATTATTTTTTTAGAAAACCTATAGGAAGAGGTTAAATAGCATCATATGAACTTCAAAAGTAGGAGGAAATTAACAAGAAATAGCAACACAATTATTTTACAAATAAAAGAAATGTAAATAAAATATCCAATAAAAAAGGAATGGCAAGATATTGGAATTTTATAAAAAAAATCTACAACTTAACAAATTTCTCTCATGCATGATGCATATATGACTTGTCCTATAATAGACACCAAAAGAAAGCATAGAATGTATTACTGAACGATTTTTCTAGATCACGTGACTAAGAGTGCAATGCGGTCTCAAAGCCTGCCCAAGGTCATTCAAGCTACTCAGACACTAAAGGCAGATGCAGTAGGATGGCCATGAAGAACATGATCAGGACAAGATGATTTTTGACAGGAAATGTCAGAGCAAGGGTAAGTGCTGAGCAATGCAATTGGTGTGAACTCGGGCCCTGAAGAAGAGTTTCCCTGGCTCTCTGCTGTGGGTTCTCCTCTAAGACTTCTACCAGCCGAGCCCAGTGAGGAGGGGACAGAATCAATACACTCAAATGGAGATTAAAAACTTTTTATCGGTTATTAATTTTATTTTATGTGTGGGAGTCAATTATGGATTTTAGAGAGAGAATATTGCAGAGATGGTGATTTTTGGATTTCTAGTTAATTGATAATCTGTAACTGGTAGTAGTTACTGGGAACTGGTTAAGTTATTAACTATAGTTCCCTGGTTCTCAGACCCAAGAGCAGTAAGGTACTTGTTTATTCGTTTGTTTGTTTGTTTGTTTGTTTGCTTGTTTGAATAAAAGCTAGTAAATGTCTTACCTACTTTTAAAATACTTTGGTATATTTTCATCTGAAAATGGAAAAAGAAATAACATAAATTTTGCTAAGAAAATCCTTCATCCTTTAAACAAGTACATAAGGTCTTTTCAGTTTGAGCAATTATTTCTTTGTTGGACTATAAAACCTGTATCTGTTTCCCCAGGCTAAAGTTAACTGAAACCAAGGCAATACCCAAAACAAAGCATGGGAACTTTCAGAAGACTCAAAAGAATGGACAAAGCGATGGAGAAGTCCTGGTCCCCTGATCCTTTCCAGCACAAGACCTTCTCACAGAGTGTAAGTGACTGGGCCTCAGCCTAGACAGGAAGCAGGTGCCCTCTGCTTCACTACAGAAGCCTACTGTTTCTTTTGCTCCTAGGCAACCAAAATTAAGAAGACTTGCTGAGCCCAAACTTTTTA